TAAATGTTTCTTACACAAGAGCTTTGGAAAGACTGGAAAGCATAAAACACGGTAGCAGTTAACACAACATCAACCACACATCTAAATTCACCACCCGCCAGCCTTTCTGCAGGAGGAAAAGGTCAATGCTGGAATATTTGTTACTATCCTAGGCAGCGTGGCCTTAAGATCATCACAGCCCTAAACATTCAAGGCCACCCTCCTTCCTAAGCACAATTGATTGCCTTGTCAATAAGGTGCATCCTAGCCCACGTTAGCTTTAATCAACTGCTTGCAGCAGCACCTATTTCTATAAACTGAGCCTGCAATCAGGGTGCCTACCCTGGAGACGTGTTCTACTTCCACCGTTATCTTTTCTTATCAATTATTCCTGTTCTCAGATTTCTCGTTAACCTTTTTTTCATTTTAGAACACGGTTTTAGCTCTTAACTCCCTAACTGCTTTGACTTCTCAGTAGGACTTTTTCAAGCTCAGTATAAAAAGGTGTCGTGACACTGCAGCAGGTTCAGAAACTACACAGTGAGCTTCCAGCGCATCACGAGCACTTAGCTTCAACCCCATTTGCAGGCCATTCGTCCGGTCACACACTCCCATTGGGGCAGTTCGAGTGCTTTATTTTAAAATTCCTCTGGAATTATTCGAAGACTTCTGGTGTCCAATCCAAGGGCCTTTGCGCATCCAGCACTAGCCCGTTTCCTTGAGCACACCCTGCTCCTGAAAAAGGAGCTGACGACAGCTCGAGCTCCTCGGCAGGAATGACAGAATGCTTAAGGTTGGAAGGGACCTCTAGAGGTCACCTAGTCCAACCCCCTGCACACGCAGGGTCACCTAGAGCACGTGGCACAGGACTGCGTCCAAGCGGGTTTGGAAGATCTCCAGAGAAGGAGACTCCACAACCTCTCTGGGCAGCCTGTTCCAGGGCTCTGGCACCCTCACTGGTAAGAAATTTTTCCTTAAGTTCCTGGGGAACTTTTGTCTCAGCCTTCTCTTCTCCAGGCTGAACAGGCCCAGCTTCCTCAGCCTCTCCTCATAGGGCAGATGTTCCAGGCCCCTGATCATCCTTGTAGCCCTGCGCTGGACTCTCTCCAGCAGCTCCACATCCCTCTTGTCCTGTGGAGCCCAGAACTGGACACAATACTCCAGATGTGGCCTCACCAGGGCTGAGTAGAGGGGCAGGATCCCCTCCCTCGACCTGCTGGAGACGCTCGTCTTAACGCACCCCAGGATCCCATTGGCCTTCTTGGCCACGAGGGCACACTGCTGCCTCATGGTCACCTTGTCCACCATGATGCCCAGGTCTTTCTCTGCAGAGCTGAAGGACAGGTCCCTGGAGGGGTAACGTGGCAAACTGACCACCAGGGCTCCAAATCAAGAGCCGCATCACGAAGCTGCACAGTTCAAAGTGCCGATCTGGCATAAGGGCCTTTTATCTGTTCATTTTTATCAAAGAAGGGTTAATGCATGGCCTCCATACCTGGAGACCTGCATCCAAAACAGACCTCACTTGTGCTGCCAGCTGCTGCAGTAACATTCAGGCCGAGGGATAAAGATTATGGAAGCATGTACCAGTCTTACTGATATAACTGTACAAAGTAAAAGCAACAAAAGGCAACGCAAATGCGATGAAACGCACAGAAAAGACACATTTTGGAGTACTCTCCGTAAGCGAATCTCAGAAACAAAGCACCTGCTAATTACAGTAACTAGTGGGTTACGACCCACTTGATACCCCCAAATTACAAGCAAACACCACCTCTCCATGATACATTTCCTCCAAAATCACAAGAGAGCTTCAAGATGCAGCTGTGAACTCATGGAGTCAGGTAGCACATTTGTTATAAAGGCTTCTGTAAAAGCAGCCCTGCAAAACTGCAAGGCTGCGACAGCATCTGACTAGCTCGAGATATTCTGACCACTGCATCTCACCAAAATAAAGCTAATGAGATGGTTTGGGCTGGAATTAGGCACACCTCTAAAAGAAACAGTGTTTCCTTAAAAGCTGTAGTGAGAAACCTTGTAAATACTCATCTGACAAACCTTCATTTCCTGATTTTAGTTCAGTATCGAACAATGGAATTCGACATGCTAACTTCAATCAAAATAACACAAAAACAAGTTGTTGTGTGATTCAGTGTTACGGCCAGAACGCCCTGAAGGAAATTCCAAGAAAGGGAAATTTATGTTTTTTCAAAAGCGGCATTTGCTAAGGAAGGTCTCATTAACTTCGCTTTTAAACATTACTGTGGGGGTTCAGAATACAAAATTACTACTAGCCACGCACAGAGCGTTGCCGGCCACCAGGCAGCGGAGCACCACGCTGCCCCCATGGTTGGTGTTCCTCACAAGCCTCGGGTGAAAGTGTTGTAGTTTTAGTCTTTCCAATGATTTTCCCTCCTGGCTCTCAGGCTTTTTAGGAGAGTTCTTGGGGGCTCTAAACAACTTGAGATCATTTTCTCATGCTTCCTTTACCTGGCGACAGCCCAAACTGAACACTTGATTGTGAAAGCATGTAATAAAAGGCGTTTTCATCCCTCTATGTCTGGGATCCAAAGCAAGCGTGGGAGCAAAGCAAGAACCCGTTTCTTGGACGGATCGTTAAAAAGGGCCTCCAGGCTCGGCTAGCTGAACACGGCTGCTCGCGCCGAGGGGATGGGGAAGGAGCAGCGCGGACACGAACCCCGCGGCTCGCCCGGCCCCAGCCGGAGCGGCGGGAGGCCGCGGAAACCCGCGCAGCGCGACCC